GCACTGTCAAAAAAAATGACTGTACAGTTACTTATCCTGCAAGAATAACTGAAGTCATACAGGTTAGCCACTTGCTGCCAGGTGGTTTGTAAAATGCAGTGCACATAATCGGGACTTTTTCAAGATTTTCAGTGTTCAAAATTCTTCAAAAATTCATCATTTCAATTAATGGATGTTTACACCCACATGAAGTACTGTCTGGTGGCCACTGTAGCCTGACAGACAAAATCTATTGACGCCCGAGTACTTCAGCCAGGCCTGCAGCCTTGTAAAAAGAGCCCAGATTGTGCGGTGTTATGTAACTTTCTTTTGTTCACGAACCTGGCACAGTGCCCAGCTGACCTCTTTTTAATAGGGGCGTGATAAACGTGCAGCGGTGCTGTGTGGCTCATCGCTGCGGTGGTAGAGCGCTTTTGTTTTGGTAATCCGCCCACATTAAATGCTCAAAACTCTGGTATACTGTTTCAAAACAAGGCTGGATTTTCTCCAATACTGAGAGTGAAAAAATGCCCAGCAGCCTGGTCTTTTGTTCCTAGAACGGTTTTTTGTTACAAGGCCCTGTTTCCTTTGTCCGATTTTGGAGACCTCGGTCACGCGTATAAACACACAGTGTCCGAAACCGGGCTCCCCCGCAGGAAGTGGTTAAAGGCAATGCAATCAAGTATTAGACATTAGAGTCTGCTGTACACGTATGTCAAACTTTGAATCCACTATGTGTATTTTTGTCACATCATAAGTGAAACTGTGAATAGAATGCGGTAGCAAACAATGACAAGGTGCATGATCTTTTTATCTGTAATCCAGATTATGATTGTGGCTGCCGACAGTTAATATACATGTAAGTTAATACGAAGTGTGGTATCCATCTGCCATATCACGATGTTTACAAGGATTAAGCAAGGCATTTATGGGCTTCTTTTCATCATCAAGGTCTCCATTTCATGTCAAGATCAAATTCCAAGTAACAGGGGGATGAGACACAGACCATTCTCAAATAAACGGGAGGCCATGACTAAATGAAATCAAAGTCAACCGTCTCTAAAACTTGACAGAAAGAGTCAAGTTAGGCTTTTCCATTACCACATTCTTTGCTATTTTCAACAGTTTTACATTAGTTACGTGTACCGGTAAAGTGTCCACTATGTCGGAGAATAAATCTAATTACTGCTTCAAGCTGTATGCTGTAATTTGATTTGGAAAAGAAATGGATATCTCAGCAAAAATATTCAAGATGCCTACAATGGCCTTGTTTGATATTTGCAGAATACCACACAAAGAAAAAGGGGACATCATTTAACTTACATTAACTGTCTGCAGCCAAAATAAAACTGTAGTTTGCAGTAAACAAAAAAAAAGCTATCTTTTCAATCTTTTCTACTGAAGGGAATTGCATGTGACAGTTCATCATATACAGTTGACTCTCGTTAATACGAGGGCCTTGGGACTTACTAAATTAGCTCATATTATCCGGACCTCGTCTTACGCGAAAGCTGCCATCCTGCTTGACGTGTGTATCACCAATCAACCATAGGTAAAGCGTACATGTGTACAAGTACATGTACATGTATGC